TTGGGGGTGGAATCCCCATTGCCAGAGGACCTCCTGAAGAGCCACCACAACCCAAGGTTTTAATAGATGAGGAGCTCTAAGGTTTCAAGCTTCTACTGTCTGAAGGTTTTGGGTTTGATCTCCCTTTACAGTCACTCCTTCATAACATAAAGAAGTAAGCATAAGAACATATTATCTTATGGGATCATCATCATGATTTCATCCACGCTCAAAAGAGTCAACAAATTATGGGTTCATTTAATCATTTCACAATCTTTCACTTTAATATTTCTTTACGCATACTTTTCTCTTTTACTTTTGACAGCTTGGATTTGATTCAAATATAAGCTTGTTTATTTTACGCATACTTCTCTTTAGCATGAGAAGAAGACGTTTATGCTACTGCTGCTTCCTCGTGATTGACCTGCCCACCCTCTCCCCCGCCTCCTTTCCCACATCCCTTCAGTTGTGCTGTTACATCTCAATCCTCCGAAATTTTCCCATTTCAAACGATTCCTTCCACCTACTAACAACTAAGAATCTTAACTAACATGTAATATAAGTTTTATGCTCTATTCAGCTTGTTTAGCTAACGAACACGTCAACTTCTTTCATTGTTGTTTTTCTTTAGCTCATTTCACAAGTATGCATTATTCAAGTTCGGTACAGCTCTCACCTTTTTCAGGTCATTTACTTAAGGAATGTAAGTAAATGTGAACATTATTAGTGTTGTCACTGGTACCAAAGAGGCAGAGGTACTTGTAGCCTAAAATTTGTTACAAGCTTATGATATGTGTTCATGTAAGGATCTCGCAATTTAGATTGTGGAGAGTGGAAGTAAATACTTAGAAAATGTTGTTCTAGGATCGAACCTAGGTTTTGGGGACGGTATCGACTATTGAATTCCTCCTTTTTATGTTGGATAAATATGAAAGTTAATAAGGTATATATTCATTCCCCTCCTAAAATATCCAACATTTTCAATAGGAGTAGTAGTAATTGTTTTGTTTGCAACTCTTCTTCTTTCTAAATTCAAATTTCGTGACAAGTAATTTTTAGGAGCAAGTTGAATTCTTGGAGTTACGAGTATAAGTTGTTGGCGCAATCTATCCTACGATTGGAATTTAGAAGTAGGACACCTTGATATTCTGGTAGATTTTAGTGTTACTTTCAATCATTTAGATTTAGTGGTATCAAAGAATTGATGTAAAATGTGAGCATTACCAACAAAGTCCCACAACTGTACACCGCAAAGTAACTATGCATCTTTTGAAAAAAATTACCAAACAAATTGAAGTGTATGTATATAATGTCTAAAAATTACTTTCTTTTTCCGTAATTCTGTACGATTTGATCAAATTCTCAAGGTCTTCGGGTCCTTCAAACTTCATCGTCCCCACAGGAAAAGGAAGGCGAGAGAAGCGAAGACGAACACAGCAGAAGCCATGCACAGTGTATCCATGGCGCCTTCCGCTCTCAACTTCCTCTCCCTCCGCCGCCGTTTCATCGCCAAAAACTCCTCGTACCTCCTCCCTCCTTCTTCCCTTCCTCTTTCCCGTTTCATCCCCTTTCTGGCCCCACCAAACGCCCTCCCCAAAACCCCCAAGCTCTCCTTCCCGCTCATGTACATCCCGTCCAGGTTCTCCATCTGCAGGCTGACTTCCCTCACGTGCATCGCCCCTTCCTCGACCCCGCCCCCGCACGTGACCACGATCCCACACTGGACCGACTCCGACGCCGCCCCCTTCTCCCCGGCCAGCACCACCGCGAACCGCGCGTGCACGTCGCCGCTCAGCCAGTGCTTCTGCACCGATACGGGCCGGTGGCTCGACAGGTTCACCGCCCGCCGGCCCGCCGGGTCGACCAGCACCCAGCTCAGGGTCAGCTCCTCGCCCAGCTCCCTGCACCCGGACTCGGTCTCGGGGCGGGGGATCCGGGTCGGACACGTGTCCTTCGGGTCCAGCAGGTCGACCCGAAACGGGGAGCAGCGGAACCACCCGGTTCCGGTCTCCGTCTCCACCGCCCTGCTGAAAATCAGCTCCCCGCGGTGGTAGATATCCACGGCGGAGATCAGCTCCTCCGCGAAAATCTCGGAGGCAGCGGAGGCCGGCTCGGAGTAAGGCTCCATGTCGGCCAGGAGAGGTAAGGAGGCGGAGAAGAAGGAGCGGTGGCCGTCGGGGAAGGCGGAGATCACTTCCTGGAGGCGAGGGACATCGGTGGACGGCCACGTTGACCGGCAGACGTCCTTCCATAAATTGTCCTGCGAGGCGAGCGAGCTGAGCTCCGTGGAGGCGCAGGCGGCGGAGAGGAGTGCGACGCCGTCGAGCCGCGTCAGGATGTGCGTCCGGAGAATGTCCTCGTGAATTGCGGACAGAGAGCAGCTGGCGGAGGAGGAGGAGGACGCCGCCGCCGCCTCCTGATGATGATGATCGCCGCCTTCGTAGTCAACTCTCCCAATCGCTTTCGTCGTCGACTGTGTAGCCATTTCTCGTTTCTACCGGGTCAGTTTTCAAGCGATCCCTCTCTTAATTTTTTTTTTTAAATTTCCGTTCGTTTAAAAATGCAGAAAAGAAAGAGAGAGAGAGAGGAAATGTTAATTTGTTGATGTTTATACAGTGTGATGAGTGGTAACGGTCTTATATATAGGGTTCCCGGTTTCTATTTTGATTGTGGAGGGGAGAATTTACGTTCATGCCCTTGGGGGATGCCATCCCGTTACGCAGCCGTTAGTGAACTGGCACGGCCGGCCGTGTTCGGCCTCCTGCCTATTTTTTTTTTGTCCGAAACAAGGCTGGGAGGAAACGACAGGGCTGTTTGTGTAATTTTAAACGGCGCACGGTGCTTCCCGGTCTCTGAACTCTGGAGGCGTATTGGTTACGTAAAGGCGGTCTATGATGAGCTAGACAGATAATATTTTAATGATTAAATAATATTAATTACTTTTTCCGTCAAGAGCATTATTGTGGAATGACCTACTCTGCTCCTTTAAGCTTAATTTAATTTTAATCATTTGATTAGTGTGAGTGACGGAAAAGGGGGTTAGGCAGCTCTTTTATCTTTATTTTCTTTCATTAGTCAGAATTATTAAATCACAAGTTGTATGATTTTTCTTTTAATTTTAGTTTATGAAAGGAAATTAAGGCCTCTTCTTTATTGATTGTGATTTATCACTATTGGAGGGGCGCTTTTTGTTTGTTAATTAAATACTACGAAGTCTACGTAGTAGATCAAGAATCAGGAAATTCATTTTCTTTAAGTGTACCCGCCTCTTTCTGCAAGATAATGCAAATTCATTTTCTTTAGGTGGTATAAGTAGGAGTGTGCAATTGGCTGGTTGGATGTTGTTGGGCCAACCATGGAGTCTCTTGGGCCGACAGGCCCATGACCTACAAAAAGCCCAGCGAAACAATCGAGCCCGGCCCCAATAGGCCCAGGGCACACTAATAAAAAGTTCGAAGGCGGTCTTCCCGAAAGAACCGCCTGACACGTCCCCAACGGAACTCTGAGAAACCGCCCGACACTGGGCCTAACGTCTCTCTGACACCTCAGTACGGAGGCTGACAAAGGTACGATCCTGACAGCCTCCTGAGAACGGGTCCTTATGCGACCTTGGACGCCCGACAAGGCATTAATTATCCTCACTCCGACATCCTCTAGTATAAATACCCACTCATGGGACACATTTGGGGTAACTTCTATCTACTCCATTCTCTCTCTTATTCACTATATCCACTTCTCTCACTAACTTAGGCATCGGAGGAGGTCCCAGGGCTCCCCTGAGGACCTTTGTTGCAGGAATTCGAAGGTCGCCTCTCATCCTCCCAAGACCGCACGAAGACTGTGAAGCCTCGCAAACCGCCCGGTACATTCCAGGCATAAACATTTTGGCGCCCACCGTGGGGCCTCACGACTTCGTCACCGGAAAAAATGGGAGACGACTTCGAAGCTCCTCCCAAAGGAATGACCCAGAACAACACCCTCCGGGGTCTATCGCCGAGAGTCGAAGACGAATCGGAGTTTGAAGAGATAGTCAAAGGTCATGACATGCAAATCGTGAACATACAAGACAGCCTGTCGCAAATCCTCTAACTACCGAAAACGAAGGAAGACCCTCCCGAGGGGTCGAGGGGAAGGACGCGAGAAGAGATGCGGATCTAGGCATCCTTGAAAAACATTTACGGTCGACTTACGGGAAACACAAGAGTCCCAATGTTCTTCAAAAACCCGCTCTCCGAGAAGCTGTTCAAGACCCCAGTACCGCCAAACTCCTCCTCCCTCGGACTACCGGCGTACAATGGGACCTCAGATCCCGCGGATCACCTTTGCGCGTTCATGTCAAAGGTGCAGCGCATCAACGCCCCGGACTCCGTCTTGTGCCGAGCGTTTCCCGTTACCTTCAGCGGTCATTTTCGGACCTCAGATCCCGCGGACCACCTTTGCGCGTTCATGTCAAAGGTGCAGCACATCAACGCCCCGGACTCCGTCTTGTGCCGAGCGTTTCCCGTTACCTTCAGCGGCCATTTTCGGACGTGATATGCCTCCCTCCCGGAAGGGGTGATAGAAATTTTCGGAGGTACCCTTGACACTTCAAGGAGCGCCCAGAGAGCAAAACATCATAGGTGGGTTTCGAACCCACATCCTCTCCCCACAAAGGAGCTCACACAACCCGTACACTACGAGGAAACCTTTAGCTTTACAAACGCAGCGGTCAATCATCATTGCTTTACAAACATCTCACAACCCTGGGGCTCAAAGCCCGCCCCTACATTCAAAGTCGATGCACCTCAAACAGGAGGTGACCGCCCTCTAAGCAGCCTTACCAGGCTCACATCCATCCACGACCCGCCTTGCGAAGGAAGCCCACAGTGGAGTCCGATGCGCTACTCATTTAGTTGAGCAAACTTCGTTCTCAACAAAATAAAAAATAAGGAATTCCTTGGCCAAGATTCGAACCCGCATTAATTAGGATACAAGAACGCCAACTGGCTGGCGACAACATCTTCTCATGTCAATAGGGGCAACCGCCCTTTATCTATTTGTTCCAAGATCCAACGCAGGAACCGAACACGGCCCAACTGCCGTCTCGTCTCCAACATGCCAGGAGCCCAAGGCCGGGACCGCCTCGCTCCACCTCCGAGCGGACGCAAGACCGGGACCGCCTCGCTCCACCTCCGAGCGGATGCAAGACCGGGACCGCTTCGCTCCACATCCCATTATCCAAGGCGATCCTATCCCTCGTCGACGAGTCGCCTCCCTCATCAACGCGATCCGTCTCGCACGCGGACCCCTTCGTCCGAAAGTCCAATAAGCAAGCCCATCACGCCACTAGAAGACTGGAGGCATCTACTTACGAAAAGAAGAAGAGAAACACGTGCACCATACTCAAACACCTAACCCAACTCTCATAGGCAGGGGCAATTACCAGTCTGCCACGAGACCGCCTTGAGGATCAGAAAGCGACTCGTCTTACTTAAACCGCTTCCCAGCTGTCTTCTACCGCTTATTCTCAAGCTAAGTACTTCCTTCTAAGATATATTCAAATACTATGCCATGAAGACCGCTCCCAATAGCACACAATGACGTTTCTCCCTACATCCCACGCTATGACATGTTTCTCCCTACATCCCACGCTATGACATGTTTCACGCATGCTATGCTTATGTTTGTCACTCACATCCTTCGCAGATGTAAAACCGCATCACATGATCTACATCCCGTGCCATGACATATTTCATGCATGATATGCTTATTTCACGCATGCTATCCCTCCACACAAAAGTCTGAAACCGCCTCCCAGTAGGCGCGCCATCAGTATAGCCAACATTCGAGACGCGCCATCAGTATAGCCAACATTTGAGACACGCAAAAGCCTGAAACCGCCTCCCAGTAGGCACGCAAGATTTGAGACATGATACCGCCTCCCAACAGAAGTGACATCTTCACGCCTCGAACTTGTGCAAAAGGCTGCCTCCAAAGCCCATTCCATTCCGCGCGCCTTCCCAAAGATGCTAAGCCCGCATTATGTCTCAAGACGGCCTACCCCTCAAATCCGTCACCTACAAAGCGTTCAGCTTTCAAGACCATCTGAGCCAAGACCTCCGTGCGGGCCCAATCCGCATCTAGTCCGATCACAAGACCCGTCTGCAACCTCGCGTCGAGCTCCAACCTCAATCCCAGTCGGTAGTCCAAGCATATAATGGGCCGCATCCCAGTCCACAATCAACTATGGCCTACAACGAGCGAAGCTTGGCAACACGCCATACACGACCCATGAAGCTCTCAATTGTCGCATTACAAAAATAAAGGAGGACCGCCTCCGCAAAGCCTCAAACCCTCATCCAGCCAAGCACAAGATGCTCATCACCACCATGCTACGCTCCCCCTCCGTGCGATATTATCATCGCGAGAACGTTTCCACTTGAAACGAAAGTTCGATCATGTCGTTACACTACAAAACCGCTTTGTGTTTACTATTGGCAACATTCGACATTTGAAGCCATTTGCAGGAAGCGCCCTCGACTAGAAGACTGCAACCACGTACACACCCCTAGCCCTCCAACTGGGCCGCCCGAACATCCACTCGGCCTATGGCACCTCCGAGGCCACTCAACGTTATCACTGAAGACGTGGCCGCCTCGCATCAAATCTCATGTGTGCGTCTGACCTAGCATCACCAACGCACCGCATCCAAGATTCCAATGCGGCCCACCACACTCTGTACATTAGGCCCACCAAGGGTGTAAAGCATTCGTCCTCTACTCTTGCATTCGGTTTCATAACGCGGTCCAGTCCCGCATCACACGGGCCCACCTCTGTCCGACCCACACTCCAAGTCCTCAACTCGAGTCCGCCAACTGTGCAAATCGTCCGGCCTGCCTTAAGACGCAAGCCCGCGCACACGCATCCGAAGACACCACCCGACCCCCGTCTCCCACATGGCGGTGCGTCGACACAAGACAAGTCTGGTCGCGTGTATCATACTCATCTGCGTCATCACCCACGTCTTCCATGACCACATCAGACGTGGAACCGCATACTAATCAAATTTCATGCCTTCCAGGCTAAGCTCTGATTGTTCAAAGATCCCAAAGCGCTTCCCGCAAAGTCAAGAGATAAACGCCTCCCAGAAGGCTGAAAGACAGAATGCCTCTCGACAGACCAGGAAGAAGCGCATTCTCATAGGCTGAAAGGAAGAAACGCCTCCCGATAGGCTAAAAGAAGACAGGCCTCCCGATAGGCTGAAAAAAGAAGCGCCTCCCGGTAGGCTGAAAATAAGACTTGCCTTTAGTAAGCCTGTCCCACTAGGTGCACCTCATACCAGGTGCAACCCAATATTTATGTCCAGAATCGCAACCTCCGCCGCGAACGTGGTCTCGCATACACTCACGGTCCGCCTAGCCAACGGCTCCCACGTAGAGGCCCATTGGGCGGGTACAGCATAACCCCCTCCATCCCTATACCAAGATTCGGATGCGAGTCCTAACTCGATAAGATGAACGGTGCTCACCAGTATGCTACAGTGAGGTCTTGTACATATGATCTATAGCGCTCGGAATTTGACTCTTACTTTTCCTAGGACAAATCACAAAGGTAAATATTTTGCACAAAATATGTCTCAAGTGCTATGCTTCAAGCCACTGGGCAGGGTCCAAAATTCGCCTCCGGGCAATGCTCCTTTCGGAGAATGGTTTCCGCCTATGAGCGATGCTCCCTCCGGGAACGATTCACGCCTTCCGCCTTCGGGGCAAGGCCCAAAAACCGCCCCCGAGCGATGATTTCGCCTATGAGCGACCCTCCCTCTAGGCACGTTTCGTGCCTTCCACCTCCGGGCAAAGCCCGAAAATCGCCTCTTCCGCCTTCGGGGCAAGGTCCAAAAACCGCCCCCGAGCGATGCTCCCTTTGAGCGATGATTTCGCCTATGAGCGACCCTCCCTCTAGGCCCGATTCGTGCCTTCCACCTCCGGGCAAAGCCCGAAAATCGCCTCCCAGTGACGCGCCCTTCGGGGCATATTTCACCTAACAAACGACACTCTCATCGAGTATATTTCGCCTCCATGAGATGCTCATCTCATGGGGATGCATCTTCCACTAAGACGAAAGCCCAATCTTGCTTTTTCACAAGCATATCGTCATCATCAAAACACCTGTTGATAAGCTCACACACCTCCTAATAGGCTGGAGGAGAAACGCCTCCCGACAGGACCTAAGGAAGACGCCTTCCAACAGGCTCACATACCTCCCAACAAGCTCAAAGAGGAGGCACCTCCTGAGAAGCTTGAAAGGATAACAGAGTAATCCTTGCGCGCCAAACCACGCCGGGGACACCAAAGCATCAGTGATGTACCCTCAAACAAGCGTCTCCGGGACGCTTAAGGGGAAAGGATGACTGAGCTCCTACACGTCCTATGGTCGCATCACACGACCTACAAGACGACCACAGGAGACACCCCCTTCGCTCTGACATACGACACCAAAACGGTCGCCCCAGCCGAAGTAAACTTACCCTCCCTCCGTGCTCAAACATGAAAGGTAAAACCGCGACAAGCGTAATGCAACCATGGAAGGCGTCCCAGTCTCCAAAAACACGGAATGACAGGCGCCTGAGAAAGTACTACTCTGACACAGTCTGAAGTATCTCATGTCCGCCCAAGAAGCTGATGACTCACACGCTTCTTAGAAGCCAAAAGACTATGAGGATATCCCGCCTCGCGAAGGCGCTCCCGTCGAGCACTCTCTTCACGAAAATGTCAAAGTCAACGAGCGACACTCCCGCCACGGGAAGGTTCCACCTTCTAGTGCCGACAAGCCCACACGCCTCAGGGTAGGCTTGAAGAGAAACGCATTCTGACAGGCCTAAAGGGAAAATGTCTTCCGCCAGGCTCTCACGCCTCACGACAGGCTCAAAGGAGAAACACCTCTCGAAAGGTTTAAAAGAATAACGCGAAATGCGCCAAACGACCGTTCAAGCAAATGACACTCTCCACCACCCAATTCAACTGTCGATCGTTCGAAAATTTCCGCGCCAAGAAACCGCATCGCAGGAACGGCAGTCTCCGCGGCATACCTGCAGACGAACGGTCCAGATGGAGCTTCAAACAAGCTAACCCTCCAAAGGCTGAAAAAACGCCTGAGAGACGCCCAAGGGGCAAGCACAAGCGAACTCTCGCACATCCGATGGACGCAGCAAGCGGTGTATAAAACCGCTACGGGCGAAACTCCATTCGCCCTCCCTAGAACACAGCTAACGCCTAATATTCAGCCAACAACTCACGCTTAGCATGCACACAAGCTCGTGCCCATCTCGCGGCCCAACAGCTTATCACATGCAGCTGGCCATGATATAGTCCCGGCACGCTTCCCTCTCATACAACAAGTTCGCAAGAACGTTTAAGCCCAAACACGTTGCCTTCATTCACATGTTTCATGTTTTCGGCACAACGTTACTAACGGGGCGTTCGTTTCCAACACGCTCAAAAAGGTCACTCCAACGACCAACCACCCCCAGAGGCGTCCAAGAATCCCAGCGGTCCGACCCGCCCTATGCAAAATTCTCCCCATTAACACTAGCACAATCACGCTCGCGAAAAGATAGGCTACTAAACACTGAAGTCGCTAAGTATGCGAGCGAAACATCCAAAAGTCGGAGATAACCCGCGACACCAAACGGTGGCGGTCCAACGCTTCAAGTGTGCAAAAGAGAACGTTACAAGTTCACAAGGCACGTCCATGCCAAATTCGAAGTAGCATACAACCCCCATCACCACGATTAAGGGGCAAAACGTGCACAAAATAGAGGACATCCAGCGGTCCTCGAGTAGCAAATGTCACAAAGCAAACTGAGAAACATACACAAAGCATCTTAAACTTGAGGAGATGCGCCACCCTCAGGGGCGTTCTCTTCATCTTCTTCTCCTTCGTCTTTTTCCGAGTTGACATCGGAATCGGTCCACGCACCAACGGCGTCCCAAATCTGATCCGTGTTCCAAACCGCGTCAGGCTGCTCACGACGGAACCAGTGCCTGATGGCAGCCACCGCATTGCCCACCATGGACTTGTACTTCTCGTTGTCAAGCAACACGAACTCATCTGACTTCAAGTAGGCGGGTCCCGCCTCAGCCCGGGCGGCGGCCAGCTCCGCCTCGCGGTTCTCTTCCCAAGTCGCCTTCTCAATCTTCAAGGCGGCCAGCTCTGTCCGCAGCGCCTCCTGTTCTTCCAGCAGGGTCTTCTCCAGCTCCGCAGACTTTAGGGCCTTCTCGCGGAAGCGGTCCCTCTCTTCACCGACAGCCTTGACCGCCCCCTTCTCGGCCAGCAACTCCTCCTCCTTCTTGGCCAGTCGCTCCTCAAACTCACGCTTTACTTGCGGTCTCAACTTACCCATCATAGTCTCCCGCCCTTCATCGGCGCTTTTCTTCAGTTTCGCTATCTCAACGACATTGTCCTCCACAGTCCGGGACAGGCGGTCATTCAACAGAATGACCTGCGAGAACCCAATCTGAGCCTGTCAACGGCATACACATGATTAGCCAGCAAACAACAGATTGCGTGATGAAACATCCACAACGAATTACCACTTACCGAAAAGAAGAACCGCGAAGCGGTCTCTGCAAGTCTCCTGTGACTGTCCAAAGCTGAAGGGGTGTACTCGGAAGGCATAACGAGATGATCACTAATAGTGTGCAAAGCAAACTCAGCCGCCTCCCCATCCGTGGCCGCCTGAGTCGACACCTCTATAGAACTCTGTTCCTCCCCGCGCTTCACGCCCTTTCCCCGACCAGCCGCCTTCCGAGGCGGAGAACTTGCCTTCGCTCTTTGGCTAGCTTGACCGAGAGCGGTCTTCTCAGCCACCCTCTTGGAGCCTCTCCTCCCGGACACATCAGCTGGAGCCGCCATAGGCTGCACCGGCGGCGGTTGAGCAACAGAGACGCCAATATCTCCGACCGCCACGGACGAGCTTCCACCTCGGCCGACTCCGGTCTTCACCACTACCCTTCGCCTCTTCGGACGAACCGCATCCGCCAGAGCTCTCAAACCTGACAAAGGAAAGCATAAGTAAACATACATGAGAAGAGGGACATACTCAAGCAGAAAAACGCAGCACTAACCATAGAATTTGCGAACGTGCTGGTATGCACTCTCGGGACCGCTAGGAAAGACTCGCAGCTGAAACCCTTCTACAAGGCGGTCTACGTGATCTCTCACTGACTGTGGAAACTGGGTCGAAACACACCAGTCGTCCTTCGAACCCACCACGTACCCCGTCAAAGGCGCAGTATCGCCATGGTACCATTTCCATGAGGGACGTGCGAAGAAAAACTCCTTGTACCATGGAGAATCAAGCTTCGGCGACCCCGTCACAAACCCCACGGCGTCCTTACGCCGACCGATAGACCAACAGTTGGTCGAATCCCTAATGTTATAAATCAGTCGGAATGCATCGAAGGAAGGGGCCTCCCCAAGACGTTTACACGCATACCGATACATGACCGACTGAAAAATAACAGAAGGGGACAAGCGCCCAAGAGTACACTGAAGGAGGTGCAAAGTCTTAGTAAGAATAGGGTCTAAGGGGAACCGCAATCCCAACTTAACGTGCTCCACGTGAATAGGGATCCAACCCTCGGGGCATGACCCAGATCTACTTGTCTCCGTAGGAGCCGCATACTGCCAATCCGTAGGTAAACTCAATGCGTTCAAACGGTGAAGCACCTGACCCGGCCTCAAGGTCGCCTCGTGCGGAGGTCCATGAGAAAACACGCCGGTGGGAACCGCGGCCCCGTCCCACATTCCCTCGTGATGAAGAACGGTATACGTAGAATCCGCAATGGCCACCAAAGGCGATCCCTCGTCCTCAGAGTCAACTGCTTCAACAGACGACGAGGTACTCGCCAGCGCCTCCGAACGCTCTTCACTACTACCAACCGCATCATCCACATTCAGCGTATCACTATCTAAGTCTAAACCCCCAAACTCACCCAGATTGTCCCCAACCGCGGACGAAGTGGCCACAACCCCAACTGGTACAGGTCGGATGTTAGCAAAAGAAAAATCTAAACTTAAAGCGTCCTCGATCAGACAATCGTCCAATTCAGAACCACCCCCAAAGTACAATTCAAGTCCAGACAAATCCCACACGCAATCAGAGGCGTGTTGGGCAGGGGCAGAACGAGCCATACCTTGCGCAGCGGTCGCGGAACCGCCAGAGGTGCCCACTGACTTCTTCCCGGTGGCAGGGGAAAGCGTCGGAGCAATGAAGATCGACGGCGGCTTCCCCATGCAGACCTCGGGGGCAGTGGGCGCATCGGACACAACCTCCGTGGCGGCAGCTAGAGGCGCGCCTACCCCGGCCGACGAAGCTAGGCCTCCGCTCGACATCTAGCGCCGACGAGGAAGAGGGAAAGGCCGACGCCCCGAGCCGGAATAAACCCAAAAGAAAAGCACACAAGTCAAAGGCAAACAAAGACGCGAGAAACAAAGGAGAAAGAAGCTCCGAAACTCACCTCGAAAGTACAAACACTCGGCCTTTTAAAGAGGGTCGACGACGGCGAAGCTCAGAGCTCCGCAGAAAGTTGCAGACGACCCAAGGAGGAAGACGACGGAGAGTTTTCCCCAAATGAAGAAACACAATGGCGGAAACAGTGCGCCTCTCTCCATTTAAAGCAAACTCTCAAGGGGCAAAAGTCTGACCTTGTCAGAGCGCGAAAATCGATGCCACCACGTGGGACAACCGAGTGCGGTTATAGACCGCCCATCATACAAACAAGTCGGTAAAGCCGCCCCCTTAGGCGTTCGAACGCCACGCCTCCGCGGCCAGGGGCAAGCAGATAATCATAGGCCGAGCGACCCAAGACCGCTCCACGGCGACAAAAAACAGTTAGCCGCGAAAACCTAACGATCATCACGACTAAGGGGCAAATGTTGGGCCAACCATGGAGTCTCTTGGGCCGACAGGCCCATGACCTACAAAAAGCCCAGCGAAACAATCGAGCCCGGCCCCAATAGGCCCAGGGCACACTAATAAAAAGTTCGAAGGCGGTCTTCCCGAAAGAACCGCCTGACACGTCCCCAACGGAACTCTGAGAAACCGCCCGACACTGGGCCTAACGTCTCTCTGACACCTCAGTACGGAGGCTGACAAAGGTACGATCCTGACAGCCTCCTGAGAACGGGTCCTTATGCGACCTTGGACGCCCGACAAGGCATTAATTATCCTCACTCCGACATCCTCTAGTATAAATACCCACTCATGGGACACATTTGGGGTAACTTCTATCTACTCCATTCTCTCTCTTATTCACTATATCCACTTCTCTCACTAACTTAGGCATCGGAGGAGGTCCCAGGGCTCCCCTGAGGACCTTTGTTGCAGGAATTCGAAGGTCGCCTCTCATCCTCCCAAGACCGCACGAAGACTGTGAAGCCTCGCAAACCGCCCGGTACATTCCAGGCATAAACAGATGTTGGATGAGTTTTTTTTTTTTTTAATTGACTGGCCATCTTATTAGAGAGTTGGTATATTTGTGACCCGATGTTAGGAATGAATAATAATGTAAGTTCATCCACATGCTAAAATCCGACCCATCATAATATGAGGTATAGTGGACGGATGTGGGTTACTTCCGGTCTAACCCATCATAATATGTGAGTGTGGGTTGTCAACCCGTTGGTCGACTCGTTAGTTAACTCATTTTGACCATGACCCGACGAGAAAAACGACCCACACACTCTCACGGGTCGACTCTTTGTGCGGTTATGCGCTTCTTCCCGATTTTCCTCTTCGTATATCTCTATTTTTGAAATTATAACTTGAACATTTAAATATTAGATTTATATAAGTATGCGAATTTTCACTATATGTTGGATCCAAGCACGGTATGTTATTTTATTGTAATTTTATATGTTAATACACATATGTTATATGAGATTTAATATAATTTATAAATTTATGAACAATATAATGACCTTTTTAATATATCGAGCTAAATCAGGCTAAAGCTGTCAGACCATTAAACCTTAAGTCACTTACTCAATCAAGCTAACGAGCTAAACCAGGTTGACAACCTTAAACCTGTCAAATCTGCCACCCACCATTAGTTGACACTAAAAATTTCCACAATCCCCCTTTGTATTTCTTTCTAAAATTTGATCATTTGATTACAATTGCCAACAATCAATGATTTCTCTCCACAATCCCCCTTTGCATATCCTAATTAGTCTTTGTTTTCAATTCCAATTTCCTCTCTCTACTACTTTTCAATTAAGTTTATCCTAATTAGTCTTTGTTTTTAATTCCAATTTCCTCTCTCTACTACTTTTCAATTAAGTTTATTATACGATTTGTTAAGAATTTCTCCCAAACTCTCTCTCTATTTTTCAATCAAATTGATGGTTTGTTATGAATTTATTTCGATTTATGTTTGGTTATCATTATTCATACTTTTGTGCATTTTAAATGAATTATTTTTTTTAATAACTCAGGAACATTAGCAACTCACATGCCACATGAGTGACAGCGGGGCCTACTAAACCTAGGGGGTACCTGCATACTAACCATCAAGGACTTTATCTCGGCGCAGTGTCCGGCGTTGTGCTACCGTTATCGAGGAGAAGGGTGCCTCCGGGAACACCAAAAAGGTGGTACTGGAATTCAAACCTGAGACCTTGTCACATCCCAATCTCGAAATCCAACCCTTTTACCAACTAGGTTGTCTTTCCATCGGCGTGCATTTTAAATGAATTAAATGAATGATTGAATCGATTAGCTCCTGAAAAATCCCCCCCCCCCCCCCCCCCCCCCTATCCTTTTTCTGCCTTACATAACAAACATTTCTGCCTTACATAACAAACATTTTCCGAAAAGTACAAGGAGAAACCATCCCTCTTATCCCCTACAGCTATTCAGGCAAAATTTCATCCCCTTTTTAAATTTCGGCTCATGCTGTCATGCAAACAAACAAAAACATTCAAAACACATTTATAATTGTCTCCAAAAATTCGATTCAATCTGATTTAATCTGCTTTGTATATATGGGTACGTACTTTGTTGTTGCACGACAGCTTTAAGCTGTGCAATAGATAAAGGATCAATATCGATGAATGGCCGGCCGGCCGGCTTCATTTCTCATCATTGTTGTTAGCCAGTCAATTATTCCACTTGCGGTACCAGCTAGTAATTTTGGTTGTGTTAAATCAGACAGTAGTTTTGTTAAAAAAACTGCCTCAGTCGCTCTGATATTGCCACACCCGGTGCAAAGCGCCAGCCGTGATATATGTACATATAAAAACAAGCAGGCCCAAAAGAAACTTCTTAGAAGTTTGAACTAATTAGTAGTGGAATGAAATTTTGAGTAAAGGTCAGGTCGAGATTAGATAGTGTATATTTATTGCTCTATTCTCATAGTTTGGGTTTTATTTATATTTATACTTATATAAGAATCGGATAGAATATCAAAATTATACCCATATCCGATCGAGTTTTGGGTATTCATGATTGATTATGGATGATAATTTATCTATATAACTTCAACCAACATGTTAACACTTGCACATATACTGACATTACATAAGTGAAAAATTAAAACAATGAATTACTAAAATCAAGAAAATTAGTTAAACATAATTTAATTTTATGAAAATTTTATCCAAACTCATTAAAAAAAATCAGGTTCGGATTTTACTCACCAGATTAGATTGGATTCAGGCGGGTATCTACAGATATGGTTATTTTTGCTGCCCATAAGGGATAATTTGGTCTGTGGGCTGCCCATTCCAGTTAATCGCATCTTATTTTGCTGAACGCAGAACATGATTCGACTAACCTAGGTGCTCAGAAGGTCAATTTCCATCAGTGTGTGTCGAATGAATTCCTACCGAAACTTGTCATAAACCTTCTCCTAGTCAATTTTCTTCATGAGGCCCCCTTTAGCTCCCTTCTTCTTACGAAAGGAGTGGAGCACTTCTTGGAGAATAATGATGTTGTCATTGGTTTGCCAGCCTAGAATAAAACTGCTTTAAGTTGGTGCCACCAATTTTGTCATCACAAGTTTCAATCTGTTGGCAATGGCTTTCGTGATTGCCTTGAGACACACATTATTCAGGCAAAGCGGACGAAAGTGGGCCGGACTCTCTGGGATTCTCATTTTCGGGATGAGGATGATGGTTGACTCCAAGTTAAACACAAAGTTTGCTAACTC